TTTCTTGCTTTATTACCTAATTTAGCAATTGATTTAGCGAAAATTTTCAAACGTATTGAACTAGAATTTACAAAAATCAATTCATTTACATCTGTATATTAAATAAATTCCAATATAATCATAAATATTATTTTTTTTCTTCTTCTTTAGGAAGTGATAAATATAAAAGTTATACTTGGTGAAGTTCTTAAACGAAAGACCGAAATTGAACTGCCAAATCAGTCGATGGAAATCGAAACAATAACAACTAAAAATCCGTTTGATAACGATACAGAATTAGATAATTATCAAGAATTACCCATCGTACCTAAATTAGAAGAACTTCTATCCCGAAGCCGACCAATTCTTCAAAAAAATATCATCGATGGTGTTTACGATAATCCTCAGCACTATCTCAATGTAAGTATCGTGTTATTTTATTTTTCGTTCAAAAGGTTTTCTCTTCATTTAGATTCATTTTCGTCTATTACATGAAGATTTTATTGGTCCATTACGTGAAGGCATTCAACAGTATTTGTCTGGATCACAAGATAGAAATTATAATATATACATCTATGCAAATGTTCATTCATACGGCTCAAAATTAAATCCTCGTTCTGGTATTGTTTACAATCTTTGTTTGGATAGACAAATGGTATCGAGAATATCCTGGGCAAATAGTGAACAATTAATGTCTGGAAATTTATTGGTATTAAGTAATGATAATTTTCAAACATATACATTTGTAACGATTGACAGTCGAGACCAGATTGAGCGGACATTCTGTATTTCTGTAAGTTTTATATGTGGATTAACTTATTTTTTTTTCATAAAATTATATTTAGGTACGAAAACTTGAAAATATCAATAATTGCAATCAAGGTCAAATTAATCTTGATGAAATTGATTCTTCTCGTCCATTAACAATGATTGAAACAAAGACTTATTTTGAATCATATCGACCAATTCTCAATGTTCTACAAACAATTCCTATTGACCAAGCATTTCCCCTCGAACCATTTATTTTAAAATTAAATACAGAAAATATTCCACCGAATTATGTTACTTCAACAACAACATATGATTTTACCCCACTTCTTGTCGAACCGAAATCAAAAGTCAAAGCTGTTTTTACTATAGATCAAACAGAACGAATTCTAATTGGTCGTTTTCCATCTCGACGTTACGTAAAACGAATACTTAGCAAAAAATTTCATATAAATTATCAACAATCAGATCTAGCTCTAGAAAAATATAAATCAGTTAATATATTAGATACTAATCAATGGCCAACAAGCGATGAATTACATCTAAATCCGAAACAATGCGAAGCGTTGATGTCAGCACTAACACGTAAAGTAGCACTTATACAAGGCCGTAAGTCATATGTTGAACATTTAGATTCTATTTTAAACATTTTGTAAAACACAAACCCGGGGTGTGGTTGTGGGTGAACATAAAGTAGATACACCCACCCGCACCCTCATCCACACTTACACCCGCCACAACTTTTTTTTCTTCATCTCTAGCACCCGGTACTGGTAAAACATATCTTGGTGTACGAATAGTAGAAATGTTATTGCATAATCGATCCGTTTGGTGCCCATCATCTGAGCAATCGACGCCTATTTTATTGATCTGTCAAACAAATCATGCTCTCGATCAATTTCTCGAATTAATTAAAAATCGGTTGAACCTAACCGAAGGTAATTTTGTTGTCTTCTAATGAGATTATGAGATAATATTTGATTTTAGGTATTATCCGTGTTGGTAGTCGATGTAAAAATGAAGCTATTGAACCATTTTCTCTATCGAATGCACGTAAATGTGCTCGTAATAATCGTTCTATACCGAACGATATCTATCATCAAAGACATCTGATACTTAACAAAAAGATCCAATGCGACGCAATTCTTAAACAAGAAAATTATAAACTTGAGCAGTCTCGAACAATTATTCTTCCATTTTCATCATTCACTGAACATGGTATTATTAATCCGAGACATTTTCCATCATTATATACTCCCTACGAAGAAGGTTTTGTTGAAACAGCTATATTGGATTGGCTTGGTCTTGGTGATGATTACGGAAATTGTTTAGATGAGTCGGTTTTTATTAAAAATTGGAAACAGAAAATATCTAGATTAGATATCAATTCTAATGAAGAAGCATACCAAACAAAAACATATAAAAATAAACAATTCATCAACAATGTTAATCGTATTGAACAGAATGAAGAAGAAGAAGAACGACGTGAAATTGAATTAGATGATGAATATTTCGTTTCACCGATTTTCAATAAATCAGAAACAAGAGATTCAAAGAAAGTGACTAGTAAAAAAATATTATCGATCAATAGGAATGAACACGAAGGGCAGGACGTTAAAAAAAAGCCTTATAATCGTAATCAAGTAGTTCAATTAAACCTTAAAGATCGAACTACACTGACTGATGAAACAGTTCAGCAGCTTCCTGATGACATTTGGAAATTAACGACCAATCATCGATATGACTTATATCGTTATTGGCTTTTAAAATATCAAAACCATTGTCATAATTCTATTCGCAATACTCGACAGAAATATGATGAAACTACAACGGAACTTGCTAAACATTATCAAAACGAAGATTATTATATTCTTAAAGATAGTCTTATTGCCGCTATGACAACAACATGTGCAGCTAAATATCATGGTGTTTTAAAAAAACTTCGTAAGCAAAAACAAATTATACGTATTTAAAATTGAATTATTTTTGAAATTTTTCAGAAAATAAAATCGTTATTGTTGAAGAAGCAGCAGCAATCTTCGAAGCACATATTATTACAGCATTGACTTCCAAATGTGAACATTTAATACTAATTGGTGATCATTTACAATTACGACCAAGTCCAAAGGTTTATGATCAGTGTTTTATCCAGCTTTTTTCGTCCGAGGGTGCGAAATTAACTGCCGGGGGGGCAAAAATCTCTCTTCTGAGGGGGCAAACGTAGAGCTTCAGACTCAAAAAGCGTATTTTTTCTGAATTCCGGGGGGGCAGGAGCACCCTCCGAGGGGGCAAAAAGCCCCGTGCCCCCCCCGCTGGATAAACCACTGATTTATGATCTCGGTATAAAATATCATCTGGATGTGTCTTTATTCGAACGATTTATTAGAAATAATCTTCCCAGTGTTCGATTGAATATTCAGGTAAATAGCTTTGGTAAGTGACTCATCTAAATTCGTTCTATTTTAGCATCGTATGAGACCAGAAATTTCACGTATAATGAAACATTTCTACGATGATTTGGAAGATTATGAAAGTGTACTTACCAAACGACCGAATATTCGTGGTGTAGAAAATAATGTTTTCTTTATTAGCCATAATCATATGGAAATGAGTGTCGATGGTGGAAGTTCGAAACAAAATGAATTTGAAGCGAGATATATTGTTGAACTCGCAAAATATTTAATAAAACAAGGTTATCAGCCAAATCAAATCACTATATTAGTCATGTATGATGGCCAACGACAATGTATAGTTAAGCTAGCTAAACCAGTGGAACTTCTTGAAGGAGTTCGTATTATGGTAAGGCTGGATATGATTATTATTTTAAATGATCATTGATTTTCATTGCAGGTAACGGATAATTATCAAGGAGAAGAGAATGATATTATTTTATTATCATTAGTACGAAGTAATGCTAAAAAAAAGATCGGATTTCTTGCAATTCATAATCGAATATGTGTGGCTTTATCTCGCGCACGTTGTGGTCTTTTTGTTATTGGTAATATGAATTTGTTAGCAGAGGTCGAAGATATGTGGAAGAAAATTGTCGGTTCATTAATTGAAAAAAATGCAATTGGTCGAGGTTTGTTTCATCATTTATTTAGGAAATTATTCCTATGTTTGATTATTAGGGTTACCTTTATCGTGCATCCGGCATCCTGAAGATAAATTTATCGCTGATACACCAGAATCGTTTGAGAAGCGGCCCAGAGGAGGTTGTAATAAACTGTGTATGATCCGTTTGAAATGTGGTCATTCATGTGAATCAGTGTGTCATAATGATGATATCGAGTACGTAGACAAACACAATAAACGATTGAATTATTAAAAATCGATTGTTTTTCTTCATTTCTAGACATATGAAAGTTGTTTGTCGTAAAAGATGCATTGATCAGTTACCATGTAACCATCAATGCATGAAAAGTTGTCATTATTCGAATCCGACTCAACATAATCCATGTCGGCTTCTCGTTGAAAAAACTATCACAGAATGTGGTCATAAAATAAAATATCCATGCACAGAAACGCCGAGTGTTCAAGACTGTCAAGAGCTAACTTTGAAACGTCTTGTCTGTAATCATACTGTAGAACTTCCATGTAATACTGCTTCGTCTGACAAAAAATTAGAACGCTTCTCTTGTCCAATATCGTGCAATGATATACTAGCATGTGGACATACATGTAAAGGCACATGTGGTCAATGTCGATCAAAACGTTTACATATTCCATGTAAAGAAAAATGTACACGTAAATTAATCTGCTCACATGTAAGTTTATTTGATGTCGATGAATTTAATAATGAGAATTGAATTTTAATTCAGTCTTGCAAAGCATCATGCACAGCGAATTGTCTACCATGTACACGCAACTGTGAAACATTCTGTGTTCATTCAAAATGCCCAAAGCGATGTAGTGACCCATGTCCACCATGTCGAAAGGTGAGTGTCACCGTTTGAAAATTCTTCAGTTCAAATAGAATTTTCGATAAAGAATATAAGTCGTATCGTGTCATATAACATTTACGATAAAAAAAATAAAAGACCAACAACATATTGTTTTTTTTATTGAAGAATAGGATAATAAACCTTCAGTGAGAAAACAAAAATCGGTCACTATATTTCTTGAGTTGAAATCATAAATTAATATCTTTTTCATGATCATTATAGGCAAATTTCGAAGTGAAAATACAAAACATTTTTATCTTTTATCAACATATTTTTAGCCATGCATGTATAGATGCAAACATCTTCGATGTACTCGTTTATGTTCAGAACCGTGTAATCGTGGACCTTGTAACAAGCGATGTGATAGAAAACTGAAATGTGGTCATTATTGTAAGTATACAATGCGATTAGTCAGAAAACGATTCATTTTGTATTTGCTTATTCGAATTCAATGAAATTCTAGGCATTGGTATTTGCGGTGAACCATGTCCAAAACAATGTCGAATTTGTGACAAAAGTGTCGTTCAAGAAATATTTTTTGGTAGCGAAAACAAGCCCAATGCATGCTTTGTTCTATTACCGGATTGTAAACATTTGAGTATGTTACTGAAATTTTGATTTTCAATGTAATTTATGTATGAGTTTTTAGTTGAAGTAATAGGACTCGATAAATGGGTATTCGATTCAATCAATAATTCAACAGATAGTACAAAAATTCGTTTTCCTGAATGTCCGCGATGCAAAACTCAAATTCGTAAATGTATGAGATACATGCCAGTTATTAATCGACTACAAAATTTAATAGAACAAGTGAAAAAGAAAATCTTGCGCAGTCAGTCTGTATATGAGATACAAGAAAAGCGAAATCATATTATCAGAGAATATAAAAATATTCGAGCAAATTTAAAACAAATCGAATATTCACAAATAACATCCCTCTTCTCAATATTAGTCTCAGGAAATTTTCTTCGACATGAAATATTAATATTAATGGAGAATACCCTTATTTTCATCAAAACCATCGATGATCTTTTAAACGAAGGCAAGAAAATGTTAACTATTAATGTATTCAAAGATCAAGTATGTTATATTATTTCGTAGATTATAAACAAATTTTTCGTTGTTATAGATTCATGTACCATTGATGTATATTCTTAAATACATCTCAGTTCATAAACAATATCGAAACTTTTCTGAACAACAAATTCAAGATATTCAATCTGAATTCGAACGTATTCGTTGTGTGATTATTTTCGAAATTTTTGTCGCTTTATTGGAACAACAAAATCCAAAACGTGATTTAAAACCAAATGAAATAGATTCAATTGAAACTATCAAAAAGCTTGTTAGAAAGTCGAGTCGTTTCACGGAAATTACTAAGAAAGAGTTTTACTATGAAATAGAAAAAGTTAAACATTTAAATAATATACCTGGATTGGGAATTAATGAACGAAAAGCAATTGTTACTGCATGAAATATGAGTAAAGGGTAATGGTATGTTTGTCCGGAAGGACATCGGTACCATAACTCTAAGAGTGAATAGAAAACTAAATACTACATTTTTTTCTATAATTTTTATTCAATAAAATATAATAATCACGATACTATCAACAGAAATTGTCATCGATTCTGTTAGTCGGGTGTGGGTGTGAATATTCAGCTATTCAGATAAGTAACGAAAAGTGAACATTATTATAGATAAAAACGTGCACGTTCATGCTACATGAAATTACACTTATTTCCACAAGCATATAAACTTAAATTGTTCATTCTCATTATATTTTGATTTTGAAATTCAAAGTGTTACAATGATGTCGCACATAGATGTATTCTTTCACTAAAAATTCTACTGTTTCGTTTCGTATATATATAATAGATCAGATGTAAGTACATTCATCATTAATGCATATACGTTAAAACAAAGAAAAAAAATACCATTTCAATTATTAGTTTTGCTTTTCTGTCTCTTGCAATTCTTCATGATTTTTTTATATCGTTTGATCCTCCATGATACATAATAGAAGTTATAACGACTATTAAGCTATTGGTTTATTCTTTATCGTTGATAAACGAATTATATATATACTTTTTCTCTTTCTTAAAAGGTCATGCAGGTCGATTTGTTTATACTTTCTTTTCATTTGTTATTCTGTTTTTGTTATTAAATCAAATGGTGAAATATCTTCTTACTGGTGTAACTGGGCGTTTGGGTTCACATGTTTTAAAACATTTTCTTCGTCTTGTACCACCATCTGACATTGCAGTTGTTGTTCGTGATCCATCAAAACTTTCATCAGAGATCAATTCATCTGGTATCGAAATACGTCAAGGAGATTTTAGTAAACCAGAACTTTTAGACGCTGCATTTAAAGATACAGAAAAATTATTAATTATTTCCGTACCAAGCATCGAACATGAATTTCGTGTTAAAAATCATGTAAATGCAATTGATGCAGCAAAACGAGCTCATGTTAAACATGTTTATTATACTTCACTTATGTTTGGTACTGACATTCAAGGACATCTCATCGATAGTGTTGCTCATGTAATGCAAGCTCATCTTGATACAGAAGTATATCTTGCAAAAAGTGGATTAACTTATACAATATTACGAGAAGGTCTTTATTCGGAAAGTTATTCTCTTTATACTGGATTTTTTGATCATACGAAAGACAATGAAGTATGTGTTCCTGGCGATGGTCCTGTTGCTTGGGTGTGTATTGATGATCTTGGTGAAGGAACTGCTAAACTAATGATTAACGTAAGTGATAAAATCATTCTAATTTCTATTTCATAAAAAAATAATTAAATAGGGTGGTCACGAACAAGAAACTGTTCTTTTAACTGGTTCGACATCGATCTCTATTTCATCGGTTACTGATATATTTGCCAAGATTCTTCATCGACCTATCAACTTTCGACTTGTTTCTGTTGATGAATATATTGAATTTCATAAACGACGTGGTACAGCACCACCTTATCCTACTGGTGAAGAAGATTTTTTAAGAAAATGGGCAACAACTTTCAAAGCTCTGGAAAAAGGTGAATCAGCTGTTGTTGATCTTCTTTTACAACAAGTACTCGGCAGAAATTTGGTACCTTTAGAAGATACTTTAACTAAATTATTTAATTCCAAACAAACTTCGTAATGAATTATTATCTTATTAATCAAGGATTAGTTCTCTTATAAAAAAATATATTTGATTAATCTAGCAAAATAAAACATTCCATGACTTCCTATATTTTGTTACAGGTGACACTAATTCAACACATGAGTTCTATTTTACAAGCATTTTCATTAGTGATCAGAGGTTAACACAACCTACTACTGTTTTTGTAAGATAATCATCGTGAGAATGTGGGTGCTTAATAGTATATAACTCGATTGTCACCAATGCTTTAAGATAAAGATAGTAAGAAGTATTTCTTGATTAAAAAAACCGTAAAAACGCAGCTTTCTTAATCTCACATCTTTTACATTTGAGATTAAGAAAAAATAAGCTCACAATGTATTAAATGTGAATAAACTTCATTTGATTAATGACAATGGGATCTTTTAATATCTTTAATGTGTTACTTTTGTTGATTTTACGATATTTCAGTTTCTTCCTTTAAGATTAACTGTTTGTGCAGTCGTTCCTTGTTTGACACGATTTGCTTGTTGCAGATGAAGTATCTCCAGAAAATCTGTTCGAAAGCTTTTACAGAAAAATCCATATACTAAAGACAAGAAAAACAAAATATCTTATCTAATGAAAAAAATTCATGTTTTAATAAAACATACCGTAGAATTGAGTACAACAATAAGTATAAGTTAATAAAGGTTGAATAATAAAAGTAATAAGTGATTCAATAGCCAGCCGTATTGGAGTTTTATATGATTTAATTGGAACTGTTAAAAAGTTGTATAATGTACTACATGGAAATGGACATGTTGTTAAACAAAAAACTAATACTTCACCAAATAACATTTTAATCAAGTCATGATCACGTTTATGTATATGAATATCATGAGTTCTGTCACCACCAGTAGGTTGTACACGTGATCGAATCATTGTTAGATTATGTCGAGCAAGAAAGGTAAATAAAATCATTAATGATGGAGGAAGAATTCCGATTAACGTAAGAGAAAAACTTGTATAAGCTAAATTATATGATGGATTAATAGCACAACGACCTGAACTATTGTCAAAAAAGAAGAGCAAAGGAATAGGTACCAGTATCGAACTTATGATAATGAAAGAAACGACACGAAGAGCTATTTTTGATTGAGAAAATGATCGAATTTTAATATTTTGTGAACAAAGTGCCCATCGATCAACACATGCAGCGATTACTAAAATGAAAATATTTATATCAGAAGTGACTCCTCTAATTAACTTACGGAAGCATCGTGATGCCATAAATAAGACATGTCCTCCATACCATCGTAATTTACATAAAACATTTGATATGTGTATGGGTTCAGTATGATCCAGACCATACAAGGATGAAATAAGCACAGTGTTAATGACAAACCAATTAGCAAGTGATGCACAAAGTAAATAAAGTGCACATGAATTAGCTCGTTGCTTCAATGTGCGTATCAATATCCATGTTGTAAAGAAATTACCAAAATTACCCAGTGCAAGTAATATTGGTATAACAGAATGACCTAACTGTAATCGAATATTGCTTATTGTTGCTACCGACATGATAAGTAATTCTTGTGGCTTGTTGAAGAGTGAATGAATGTTACTTTTAAATAAAAATAATCAAGTAACGATGTATATGCAAGCTTATAGAGTTCTTCTCGGGACATTTCTTGTCAAACATGACATATATTCAAAGTCACAATTTTTTAATCTTCAAAGTAAAGCTTTATAATTACAATATTAAGAAAAGATCTACAAAATCATCATACATATCAACTGTTGAAATTTTTATAACTTTTCAACGATGTTGTGAGAAATCTCGCCAGTCGTTATGGCTTTGTTTAAACGAACCAACATGTCAAAACTTATGGACTTCGATTTTTTTTTGTTTATAAAACTTTTGACAACAAAATAAACTTTACATAGAAGTTCTATGGAGTATCAAATGGAGCATCTTTTGTATGGAAAAAACTGAGAGAATGTGGATATGAATTCCCGTATGTCATCGTTTTCTGTGGTCATCCATACTCTCATCTTTCATTCGCAAGATGGTCAGCACTTTAATTTTCTCTTATCGAAGACGATTGTACAGATTATAATCAATATATGAAAATAATCTGATGATCGTGATTCTTTCAATCCAATGATTATTATACCTAGATTAGTTCTCTTTTCTCTCCAGTTTCGAATGTTTATTCGAAGAAAAATGTATTAAAATAGGGTGTGGGTGATGAGGTCAATTTAAACACACCCACTCACACCCTCGTTATTCTATCTGATTAGTTTTATTGATATTTTTTTTTCAGATCATCATCATCTTTAAAAATTTTATTTGATTTAACATTAGTTTTATCAATTAATAATATTTAATGAGCATTATCTGAGATATTACCTGCATCAATAATATTAACGATTGTTTTATTCATTCTATTCTTAAATTAATACATGATTATTAGGTGTGAGTGTGGGTGTAGGTGGGTCTAGTTGAAACAAACATAAGGCCCACACCCTCAATCCGACGGTTTTCCAATAGAATTCGACAGTCGGTTCTGTCGTCTAATACAAGAATATCATGAAAAAATCGAAATTAAATCAGCATCATTCATATTTTTTCTTTAACAAGACAGACACAAAAAAAGTTAAATAAAAATTTCATAGATATTCACATATTAATAGATGAATAATAAATATTTGCGTTAGTTTCTAAAAACTGAGGGTATGGGCGTAAACTTAAACTGATACTCGTGCAAACATCTACAAGCACATCCAAGATTTGGTCCTTTGTTTTTTAAATGATCCTCTATAATTAATTTCTATAGTAACAAAGATTTCGAAATAATTTTCCTTTTTATTTTATTTTCTTCAAATTCAACTCGATGGATCTTAGATAAATCGTTTATTTGAACAAATTTAATGAACGAACTTAAGAGAAGTTAAAAAACCTTGATCATCATGTCTAATGGTATCAAATTGCTGAGTGAAGTAAAGAGAATTCAATAGATTATAATGACATCTATTCAAAATTTCATAAAGAAAATTATTTTTTTGTTATTCAATGGAGATTACAGTATTATTTGCATTTCAACTGTTAATATAAAACACAAAAGATCAATAAAATTCTCATAATTCATCTTCTTTGAAGAGACTTAGTTTAAATTCAATGTTAATGAATATTAAATTATTATCATGATAGAGATCTCTTATCTATCGAAAAAAGGTTTTCTTCGTTCTTCTACTACCTACTGATATTTATCTATCTTGACTCATTTTGTTTTGTATAAATAAATACACAGACAAAATGATAACAAATATTCATTTCTTTTTTAAATTCTTCGACAAATGGCAACAGCAAAAAGCAGAGTCCAATGTTTTATCTGTAGTAAAGAAAAAAACACATACAGTTGTAAAGGATGTTCACATGAGTTCTGTTTTCAACATTTAAAAGAACATCGACAAAGAATCGAGACACAATTAGAGGAAATTATTAATGATCACGATCAATTTCAACAAACAATTGTTCAACAAAAACAAAACCCAGACATTTCTCCTTTAATCGAACAAATAAATCAATGGGAAAGAAATTCAATTCATCAAATTCAACAAGCAGCAGAAAAATGCCGAGAACAAGTCATAAAATCAACACAAAAAAATAACAATGATATAGAAAAAAAGTTTAGTGAATTATCTCAAAAATTAAAAGAAATTCGTGAAGAAAATGAATTTAATGAAATTGATTTAAATAATTTTCAATTAAAATTAACACAAATTACAGAAGAATTTCTTCAGCCATCAAATACTTCTATTTGAAAAGATTTACATGAATTTATCAAGAAAATTTCAGTTAAGATTTCATCATTCGGTATGTTTATTCAATTATTTCATTTCAAGAAAAGAGAAAACGAAGTATTTTTTTCAAGCTTTGTTGTATTAGAAATTAATTTTATTAACGAGATTTAGAGAGGAAAATTTCAAATGTTGAAAATGAACAAATATAAGATTGAGAGAGAAGTCTAAAAATACCTAAAATCTAAATGATTTGAATCTATATTTTGAGGATATACTGAGATCTATCAAACTATTCCAGTCTGAAAGAAACGCTTCAAAATTATTAATTATGAAAAAAGTTAATCTGTGTAATAGACAGTGTCAGATGTCAGAATATGGTTTTATTATTTCATATAAAGATAAAGATATTTTAATTGAAAAAGCAATTAACAATATTTTATACAATCATTACTTTTTTTGTTTTTTAAGATATTTATTCAAATCTAAAGAAATTTCTCACGATAAATAGATATTTTACATTTGAAAAATCTCTTTTAATATTTTAATGAAAAGTTTATCTTATTTTTAAATTGTTGAATAAATTTAAGTTATGTTTAACTTTTTAGTTTAGAATTTTCAAATAAAAAAAGTTTCTAATCGATTTTGTTTAAATCATTGAAGTAAAAAAGATTTTCCTAAATTAGACTTTCATGAAAATCGAATAAACAATTTTTAAGTAAAAAATCTGAATTGAATGAAGAAATCATTTCAAATTAATTTTGTTTGAGTAAAATTAAATTTTAAAAAAAAGAAAATTTTCTTTTATTAAAACAAAGTCAAATACAAGTTTTTCTTCTTATTTTTTGCCCTTTTATGATTTAAAAATACGGAAAACGATTTTGGATAAAAAGAAAATCTTTTATTTCAGAACAAATTCAAACAAAAAAGAATAAATATCAACAATTTGCAATTACTGTTGCTGGAGGAAATGAAGATGAAGATGAATTAAATCAACTCTATTTGCCTCAAGGGATTTGTATTGATAATGATAAATCAATGTATATTACTGATTCTGGCAATCATCGTATTGTTAAATGGAAATTGAATTCAAATACTGCTGAAATCATTGCAGGTGGAAATGGAAAAGGAAATCAAAACAATCAATTGAATTATCCAATAGATTTAATTTTTGATAAAGAAAATAATTCTTTAGTTATTTCTGATCTCGGAAACAGTCGAGTAATTCGGTGTTTTGATCAAAATCAAACAAATCAACAAATTATTATTTCAAATACTGATTGTTGGGGTCTGGCAATAGATAAAAATGGATTTATTTATGCTTCTGATTGTGAGAATAATGAAGTAAGACGATGGAAACAAGGAGATATAAAAGGTGAATTAGTTGCAGGTGGAAACGGTGAGGGGAATCATCTTAATCAACTCGATTCTCCTACTTATATTTTTATTGATGAAGATTTTTCTCTTTATATAGCAGATCGGAGAAACCATCGTGTAATGAAATGGAAAAAAGATGCAAAAGAAGGAATTATTGTTGCTGGTGGAAATAATAAAGGAAATAGTCTCAGACAATTGAGTGGTCCTGATGGAGTGATTGTTGATGATTTGGGTCAAATCTATGTGGCAGATTGGGGGAATGATCGAGTAATGCGTTGGTGTAAAGGAGATAAAGAAGGTGAAATTATTGTAGGTAAAAATGGAAGAGGAAATCAATCAAATCAATTGCATTATCCCGCAGGTTTATCATTTGACAATGAAGAAAATATTTATGTTGCTGATTGTTACAACCATCGAATCCAAAAATTTGAAAAAATTTGAAACTAAAAAGCTTTTTCATTTGGTTTGAGAAAATTTCGATTTTCGTTTTTGAAAATAAATAAAAAACATTAACTTATGAAAATCTTAAACAAAAATAAATTTATTTTTCATTTTTAGAAAAAAAGTAAGTGAATAATTTCCGAATTGTAATTCTAAATTGAAAACCAAAATGAATAAAATAATTTGAGAGTGTGTGCGTGGGTGAGGGTGTGGGTGTTGGCGCGGGCATTCTGCTCTTTCAACACCGACACC